GACGAAAAAGATGACAAAAACGAACTCGGCCATCATAGGCCTGAATATATCTACCTCTGACATTGCATTCCTAAGGTAAGTTTTGATCCGTTTCAAGGTAGAAAATGAACGTTCTGGCGAAGCCGTTGAAACAGGAAGAGTAGCAAGAATCTTGTAGAAATTATACATGTTGGAGAAGATGTCCGGGTTACAGATAGCTTATGATAGTTTACCAAACCACATTTTCCTTTCAGCTAATATTATTTCTGCGTTGTCAAGAAAATCCTCTAAATAAGTATAAGTAAATTTTCAAAGTTCTTCTGCCTTTCTTCTTCAGAAGCTAAGTCGCTCTTGATTGAGGGAAAAAGACACTGGAATTCTAACAAAATTCCATTATGGTCGACAAACCTTTTTTCTAGCTTGTTTATGAACTTATTAATATATGGAACAAACACGGTAACCCTATAGAAATCTTTGGGGGTTTTTAGGTTGAGCAGATTTGATCTATGCTTTTGAATGGCGATGAATCGCGGGATTTGGATAGAAATTGACACCTCGTTTGTCAAAGTTGTCGCTTCTTCAAAGATCTTTTTGAACTTATTATCTCCATTAGTTTTTAAATTTTACAAATTGGATGTCGTCTCTTCTGAAAATTACAAAATAACGCAATAATTTCCTTTGGGTATAATTTCTGCTTCTGCCAGAACTCTATTTAAGACATTTTTACGCTTAGGGTATACGAAAAAATTGTGAGCTTGTCCAACAGTGCCTAAACAATTTCGTATTTCGGGAACCTCGCTAGATTTTGAAACTGCCAAGTTGAGACTATGTGCAGCGCAATGTAGGTACATATAGGGTATTCCATTTAAAACGAAACAGGCTAAATCAGGCCTATGATGTATCATTTATATCTGATGCCACGTTTATTTATTTTTTTTTAAATCGCTTGTAGGTACACGTAATTTGATTTTTAAACGGGGAAGTTTTCTGCAACCATTTTTAGCACTTCAATTTTAACCCTCTAGGCGGGGAGGAACCAATCCTTAATATTTTAAATGGAACAAGGGGTCGAGTGATACCTCTTCTAGAAGAGCATTCAATTCTTTTTCATTTGATGTCATCTGAAAGAAAAATGAACTAAAACAGATATCACTCGACCCCCTGTTCCATTTGGAATGGTAAGGATTGGTCCCGCCTCCCTTCGAGGGTTAAGTTAGTGCTGAAAATGTTTCAAACACTCACACAATCAAATCACATGTACGAGCGATTGAAAAAAATAAATAAAAGTGTTTTATATGAGCTTGAACCCCGTTAAATTTTCCAGACATTGCAGCTGCACTGTCGTAACCTTGTCCTTTTAAAAAACTAGTAGGTATCGATTCCACAACTACGCAGATTTTCCAATATAATATTTGCCAGAACTCTGCCTGTAACATCTGCAGTCTCAACAAATTGCAAAAATTCTTAAATTTTCATGGATGTCATATATCTGACACACAATGATACTTGTTCCACTCCTGCAACATCTGCTGTCTCATCAGACAGAAACACATTCCGACATATTCACCTCAGCAACTATCTTTTTAACAATCAATTCATTGCAGGAATCTATAATTTCATTTTGAATAGAAAGACTAATGTATTTATTCCTTTCACCTTGTCTTTCCAAAGCCTTTTTAAGTTTTTCGTCTCTTTTGGCTCGGTACTGTATTGCACGAAAGTTGCCCTCGGTTTTGTCAGCTTCATCTGTCGTCAATAATTTTCCAGAATCTCGATGCCCGCGTAATGCAATTTCTTTGTTTGCCACAAAGAAATACAGCTTCGATTATAGGAATTATGTTCTCTGTAATATTTTTGCTGTTCTATCCGCAGATAGATTATTTTCAACTGATTGTTTTTATCAACCTCAAGAAACTGAGCCACATCAGTAAGTAAATTTAAATGAAATGATATCGAGCAAGTGGAAATGCATAAGAAGCACTTGGAATCCATACATTATTTAAAACATTAATTTTTTCAGCATGGGTCAGCACTTTCTTACAAAAGCGGCTAATGTCGTTAATGGGACCGGTGTTTGCACGTTTTTCTAAGGTATTATTCTCATTGTCAAATTCAAACGTAGTAGATATAGAAATATTTGAAGATGATGGCAGGGGTGGATGATAATGATTCCGTTGACCGAGAAAAGTGTAGCAAAACGCCCCAAGTACTCTATGTAATTAGTTAGATGGTAAATGGCGAGCGGTATATTGATGGTGTTTATTTACTTGGAGCTGCTACCTAATATCTGTGGAAGGGTCTATTTGCAAGAGAGAGAAACAAACTATTGAGGTGTAGTAAATTATATTTTATTATACATAAAACCAAAATTTTTAATCAGCCAAATATCTTCCAATTCTGACAGCCTCATCTATTTCTATAAATTCAATTACTTCTCTATAAAATCAATTACTTCACATCCGTTCTAAAATTGTTATTATTACGGACCACTGAAATATCCCTACTAAATAAGAAACGCCCTATTCCTACTATTCCTAATAACTTATAAGTTAACTCATTTCAACACTTCCGATTCATTCCTAATAAACTACCCTGCTTCACCTAATAATATAAATTCTTTAAAATTTCTAAGTCCTTTACTGGACCTGCTTATGAAAAACCCCAAAATAATTACCCATTTGTCTATCAATATAGGTAATACTAACTTATTCTTATAAAACCTTACAATAATTTCTAGATCATCAATGTCTCTTGACGAATAACAAATATCAAATAAACTTTTTCAATACGTCTAATGATTATCGTTTCCAGTTTTATCTCATGAAGGACAATAGTTCTTAAACTAACCACTCCATTACATTGAATGATAACCGTCAACAATCTTATTTCATGCACAAGTTTCTTTTCGACACATCCCATTTATTTATTTTTTAACAGAACAAATTACTATCATAAGTTTCCTTTAACAACTTTCCAATATTTTAAGACAATTCTATTTTATGAACATCAAGATTTTTTTCAAAATTTCCTATTCCATTTAATTAGAACAATTAATATTTTTCGCCATCCTGGCTAACATACAAAATTATTCAAATTCTTATTAGTTCGTTACTATAGCCCTTAATCTTCAATTGGACAATCCAGTTCAAACTTATTTAATAATCCTTACTCAAATCGAAACTATTTATGTTATGTTAAATGCATTATAAATTCCCTTCATATTTTCTTTGCACAATTAAATTAGAATGTCATTATATCTGAAGGCAATAGACCTATCTATTTTTACCTGACATGCGCGCGCAACACGAGGCAATGCATTTTTATTGGCTACCTAGTACAGGTGAGAGGTGATCGTTTTGCAAGCTGGGAATCTCCTTGTCCTTGTTCATTGCCCGTGGTCTGACAAGAATCAACGTACCGTTAATATTCAATTTGACAAATGTCATTCAAAAGTGGTTTGAAATTTTCATTGACAAATACGTTGCACAAAACGCGGTCTTTCTCCTTCCCTTTTTATCCCGTGCAAGTAAGAAGGACGGATTGCTATACGTAAGTCTAACATAATTTGGTAGGTTTTGCCTCGTCTTGCGTAATGAGCATTCTGTGTCTTTTTTTATCTAAAGAAGTTTTCGTATTATTACCTCTTTGTCTGGTAAAATAGATAGGTCTATTAAAGTTATGCAATAATGTTCCATTTATAAAACACTCGAGTTATTAATATTAATGCAATAAAGTTCCACAGTTAATTAAAAGTCAAAAGTTTTTCTAGTAAAAATCACTCAAGTTTATGAAAGTCATTTGTTAATTCACTTCTTATCATTCAGGATTATTAATAAAAGTCAGAAAATTATTAAACACTAAAGTACTTACATTTTACTTTTGCACACGTAAAATTACTTAATTACTCAAAATTTTTAGCTAGCACGCACATAAATGTTAACGAATTTAATTGTTCTTTCTTTCAAAAATTTTCCGCTACTTTTTCAAAGACTGTTATCGAGGCAATACCTACAAGAAACTTTCCGGACTCACACTTAAGGTACTGTAGATTTTTAACTCAAACTGGACAGGACTGCGAACTCATCTCTCAACTGACAACTTACAACTAACAACTCTTTTTTTCCACTTCTAAAACCGCGGTATTTATATTAAATCGATCCCCCCGCAAAGTATTATTAATTATCCCCCAAATCGTCAATAGGCGGTCGTTTGCCTAGCAATCAGAAAATCCCATTGGCGGACTTAAATATTATTAAAAATAATGATGCAATTTCCTTGAAATTTTTATCATTGTAAGTTTAAAAAATCGAATAATTATGTTGCAATATACTGATTTATCGGGGTCGAAGACATTATTGGTTCAAGAATGCCATAAATCATTTATAATTACTTGGCCTCGCTCTTTTAAGTTCATTGATTTGGGTGTTGGATGACCACACCCTGTCCTCGTTTTTATCATTTTTAAGAATTTAATAATTTGGATGATGACTGGCTGGGTGTCGAATTAGCGTTAATATGTATCATTTTTAATTTATCGATACGGATTTGAGATATCGGAAATTCTGTTTTTGATTGTTTGATTAAATTTAATTTTTACAGTAAAGACATTGTAATTATGGGTCTATTTTCTCGGATCATTACATCACTATTAGCTTATCCAAAACACGTGACTTTGACAAGCAAACAAGGGGTTTGTGTGCCTCTTGGCGGACATTTTAATTTAAATTTGACAGCATTTGCCTATCCACAACACATAACTTTGACAAGCAAACAAAGAAACGTGCTTAGGAGTCGTTAGTTTATTAAATATTAGAAAAGACATTATTTTTTGACAAGTTTATCAAGTCAATTCTAAACGTCCAAAGGCTATCTCAAAATCCAAGAAAACCTCAAGGAGTGACTATAAATTTAGCCCATAGCCCCATAGACCAATCTGTTACTTGGTCTCCGGAATTTAATCACTTTAGCCTTGCTTGGACATTTTTTAATTATTTATTATAGAAATCTTCTCATTATTTCAGGCCCTCTACGAACTAGATTTGGCGGGCTGCAACGAAATCACCGAACAAGGCTTGTGGCAGTGCCTGCACCCGAGAATAGTGTCGCTGACGCTGACCGATTGCATAAACGTCGCCGACGAAGCTGTCGGAGCCGTCGCTCAGCTGCTGCCCGCTTTGTACGAGTTTCAGCTGCAAGCCTACCACGTCACGGATCAAGCTCTCGGCTATTTTTCGCCGAAACAAGGCTGCAGTTTGGGCGTCCTTCGGTTACACTCGTGCTGGGAGATTACCAATCACGGTGTCGTCAATATCGGTAAGAAATCTAGCTGAAAAAGGAATCATTTGAACTTAACTTAATGACGTCATTGTCCTTCAAAATAAACTATACCTACCTATGTTACCACCGCCACCTGGTTGCGACGGTTGGGTGAGGGAGACTTTGTTTTAGCACTGGTAAAGGCCTTTTTGTACTGCGGTAGCGTGCCACTGGGGACTTTGGTTAAAGTCCCACTGAAAATCTAGGTAACTTTGAACGGATACTTTTTAGTAATCTGATTAGATTGCCTCTTCTAGTGCGGGTTCTTGCTACCTGAGCTGTACGCAGTTAGCTGGAATGTTAGCTCGGGGTTTTCCAAAGGAAATAAAAGAATCAGTTTTTCTTACTAAACTTTAACAATGGTTTATTGAACAAATGGTAAATCTTAGTAAGGAAATGAAAAGAAAACAAAGAATATACAGTAAGTTATTAACAATGTTTACTGAAATGAAATGAAAGAAAATTACACACAACTTTGGAATAATACGGAGTGGAATTAATGAACGTCCTGTATAGGGCAACAGGGCTGGAACTCTGTAACGGATAAGGATCGTTATCCCTATCGCTATGGCACTTGCTGTCTTCTTCTTTCTTGTCAAAATCAATAGAGAGGAGACGACAATAGAGATAGAGAAAATATCGCACACGTAACAGAGTTCCAGCCCAGGATACTATTTCGGGATCCGACTGATAACCCTTGGCTCTTGACACGGTTTCGTCAGAAATTTAGCGACTAAATCTCGCTGAAAAAAAAAAAACAATTAATTGTATTACGAAACAAAAAAAACAAGGACTTTTAGGCCGTTCTGTTACATTTACTCTAAAATATAATTATATTTCAGTACATTCTCTACCAAATCTGACTGTTCTGAGCTTGTCCGGGTGCAGCAAAATAACAGACGACGGAGTCGAGCTGATAGCGGAAAATCTACAAAAATTACGATCCCTTGATTTGTCTTGGTGTCCCAGAATTACCGACGCCGCCTTGGAGTACATCGCGTGCGACTTAAATCAATTAGAAGAACTCACTTTAGATAGGTAACCGCAATTTCTCATTTATAATGTCCTATTTTATAACAAATCTTTTTAAAGGTGCGTTCACGTGACTGACATAGGAATAGGCTACATCTCAACCATGTTATCTCTACAATCGTTATATTTACGTTGGTGTTCGCAAATCAGAGACTTCGGACTGCAACACTTGTGCGGCATGAGAAATTTGCAAGTTTTATCTCTGGCAGGTACGGTACTATAGATTAACCAATTCAATTTGACTAAACTCCATTATAGGTTGTCCATTGTTAACGTCCAACGGACTGTCCAGTCTGATCCAGCTCAGACACTTGCACGAACTGGAACTGACGAATTGTCCGGGAGCGTCGAGGGAACTGTTCGACTATTTGAAAGAGCACCTGCCTCGTTGCCTGGTCATAGAATAAAGTAGCAACTTATATTCGTCCCCTCCGGATATACTAAAATGTTTTAGAGAGTGTGTACCTGATTTGAATTCTTAGACCCGAATAATGGTGTTGTTAGAAGTCGGAACTTCGTTACTAGGAGCTTATACCAGCCATTTTGAATCAGCTTTTTTAAAAAATGCCGGAAATTCAAATTTAGAAATTTAGACCCAGGGAAGGTTATGCGTTGGTGTAAACTTACTCATTGCCATTCTGAATCGAGCCTGACTTGAAACTGAAAGTTTAGCCTAGTGGCGTCTAGATTTTAGACTCAGAACTTAATATGACCAACAGACCAACCAGTGTTGCCAGAGAGCAAACATTTTTTGTACCAAAATTAAAGAAAAATTGTACCAGAGCAGGTTATCCGGCCACTCGGCCAGGAAGGACACGCTGATTTCTTCAGTGTAGCGCACCATTGAAACAACACCGGCCATTCAGGCTGGAGATTTGAAAAAAACATATGGCAATACTGCTTATGATACAACAAACGTTAAAAAATTGACATTTCAAAGTAGGCTTTGTTTTCTTTAAAACTCAATACAAAATGGCGTCTTTTTGTTTTAAAGATTACGGCCCGAAGGGCCGGAGTATTAAAATCTGCAGTTGACAATGAATGGATTCGTATAACTGTAGCCCTTCGGGTTCGTATAACCTCGGCCCTTCGGGCTCGTAACGTGATTAAAATAACACCGGCCTTTCAGACTCGAGATTTGAAAAAGACATGGCAACACTGCTCATGATACAACAAACGTCAAAAAATTGACGTTTCAAAGTAGGCCTTGTTTTCTTTAAAACTCAATACAAAATGGCGTCCTTTTTGTTTTAAAGATTAAGGCCCGAAGGGCCGGAGTATTAAAATCTGCAGTTGACAATGAATGGATTCGTATAACTGTAGCCCTTCGGGTTCGTATAACCTCGGCCCTTCGGGCTCGTAACGTAATTAAAATAACACCGGCCTTTCAGACTCGAGATTTGAAAAAGACATCGCAACATTGCTCATGATACAACAAACGTCAAAAAATTGACGTTTCAAAGTAGCTTTGTTTTCTTTAAAACTCAATACAAAATGGCGTCTTTTTGTTTTAAAGATTAAGGCCCGAAGGGCCGGAGTATTAAAATCTGCAGTTGACAATGAATGGATTCGTATAACTGTAGCCCTTCGGGCTCGTATAACCTCGGCCCTTCGGGCTCGTAACGTGATTAAAATAACACCGGCCTTTCAGACTCGAGATTTGAAAAAGACATGGCAACACTGCTCATGATACAACAAACGTCAAAAAATTGACGTTTCAAAGTAGGCCTTGTTTTCTTTAAAACTCAATACAAAATGGCGTCTTTTTGTTTTAAAGATTAAGGCCCGAAGGGCCGGAGTATTAAAATCTGCAGTTGACAATGAATGGATTCGTATAACTGTAGCCCTTCGGGTTCGTATAACCTCGGCCCTTCGGGCTCGTAACGTAATTAAAATAACACCGGCCTTTCAGACTCGAGATTTGAAAAAGACATCGCAACACTGCTCATGATACAACAAACGTCAAAAAATTGACGTTTCAAAGTAGGCTTTGTTTTCTTTAAAACTCAATACAAAATGGCGTCTTTTTGTTTTAAAGATTAAGGCCCGAAGGGCCGGAGTATTAAAATCTGCAGTTGACAATGAATGGATTCGTATAACTGTAGCCCTTCGGGCTCGTATAACCTCGGCCCTTCGGGCTCGTAACGTGATTAAAATAACACCGGCCTTTCAGACTCGAGATTTGAAAAAGACATGGCAACACTGCTCATGATACAACAAACGTCAAAAAATTGACGTTTCAAAGTAGGCCTTGTTTTCTTTAAAACTCAATACAAAATGGCGTCTTTTTGTTTTAAAGATTACGGCCCGAAGGGGCCGGAGTATTAAAATCTGCAGTTGACAATGAATGGATTCGTATAACTGTAGCCCTTCGGGCTCGTATAACCTCGGCCCTTCGGGCTCGTAACGTAATTAAAATAACACCGGCCTTTCAGACTCGAGATTTGAAAAAGACATCGCAACACTGCTCATGATACAACAAACGTCAAAAAATTGACGTTTCAAAGTAGGCTTTGTTTTCTCTAAAACTCAATACAAAATGGCGTCTTTTTGTTTTAAAGATTAAGGCCCGAAGGGCCGGAGTATTAAAATCTGCAGTTGACAATGAATGGATTCGTATAACTGTAGCCCTTCGGGCTCGTATAACCTCGGCCCTTCGGGCTCGTAACGTGATTAAAATAACACCGGCCTTTCAGACTCGAGATTTGAAAAAGACATGGCAACACTGCTCATGATACAACAAACGTCAAAAAATTGACGTTTCAAAGTAGGCCTTGTTTTCTTTAAAACTCAATACAAAATGGCGTCTTTTTGTTTTAAAGATTACGGCCCGAAGGGCCGGAGTATTAAAATCTGCAGTTGACAATGAATGGATTCGTATAACTGTAGCCCTTCGGGTTCGTATAACCTCGGCCCTTCGGGCTCGTAACGTAATTAAAATAACACCGGCCTTTCAGACTCGAGATTTGAAAAAGACATCGCAACACTGCTCATGATACAACAAACGTCAAAAAATTGACGTTTCAAAGTAGGCTTTGTTTTCTTTAAAACTCAATACAAAATGGCGTTTCTTTGTTGCCCTGTGGCCTCAAGATTAAAAACACTCTCGCTCTTCGGGCTCATATGATTAAAAAAAAAAACGCCATATCAATCCTCTAGCGTTACAGTGTTGCCAAAAGGTAAAAAATTCAATCAGCCTGACAGCCTTAACATCATAACAATCGTTTCTTGATGTCAATTGCCACTTGTCAACGTTTTACATTTACAATTACAAATGTTCCAAAATTACCGTTAAAATGTGGCAACGTTGCTGTTGTAGGCCTCAATCTGAATCACAATTGACAAAAAAAGTCAACAATCGTAGGTGGTCCTGAAAATGAACTCGTCAATTGTCAAAAGTCATAATATTGTATATAGGCTTGTCAGTTGTCAAACAAAAATTGAGTAATTATTCCAAGTGTTTGAACTGGGAACAATCGAAAATTTACTCTGATGATAGTTTGGCTCGACCAGCTGATCATTCAAATTGTTTCCCTCTTTATCTCGCTCTTTATCTTACTCATTTATAATCGCTTTTGGTTTTCTAATAATGTATTCTACCTTATCCTCTTTGTTTTACTCACTAAAATCTGGAAAAACATTATGTTTGAGATTGTAATTATGGCAACATCGCTTTTGTTCAAATAGGTTTTGTAATGTAATGTCATTTGGCATTTTAGACAGTTGGCCATTTTCGAGTGTTTTTATCCAGTTTCTCCTCGAATTTTTCACTTTTCCAGGCCAGTTTCGATCGGGAAAACTGTTAATTATATGCGAGCTTGAAAGGCCGGAGTTATACGCGAGCCCGAAGGGCCGGAGTTATTTTAATCACGGGGCCTAGTTTATAATTCTAATGGTCAGCGGATAATTTGGAGCCAATCAAAAACCTGGAATATTCAAAATGCGATTTTTAGTGCCCAATCAAAGAGCCGGGAATATTCAAAAACTTTAGTTTTATCAAGTTGACTTTGGAATGTTGGTTTTCTATTGGGTTTTCTTAAGATTTTCACTTTTTTCAGAAAACGGTGGTTTTTGCAAACATGTACTACTTTATCGTTGTCTTTGTCTTACTCACTATAATCAACAAGTAAACCTTGTAATGTCATTTTTATTGAAATATAACTAAAAACAAGTTTCCGATGCTTTATCTAGGGAATTTTAATTATTATAATCATTATTTATTAATTATTTAACAATTTTTAATTGAATTTTAAACAAAAAACTCATTTAAAATGTTATTTTTGTTTTCCGAGATGTAATGTGGCAATGTTACTTTTAGTCGGCCATTTTGAAGTGACGTCTCGTGTTTTTTTTGCCAGTTTTTCCTGGAATTTTCGACTTTTTCGGGTATTTTTAATGGAAAAGACCGATTTAACATACGAGGCTTTAAGTTTTCTCCATTTTCTAGCAAAAATTTCCACTTTTAAATGCCATAATTAGCAAAATCCCATTTAAAATGCTTTTGATGTGGCAACACTGTTTGTCGCTAACTTCAATCAAGGATGCCTTGTTATAAATATCATTGTCATTTTTGACTGTCGGCCATTTTCATTTGACGTGTTTACATTTTTATCTAGTTTTTTCTCGAATTTTCCACTTTTCCGGGCTGTTTTTGATCGGGAAAATCGATTTAAAGTACGAGGCTTTGAGTTTCCTTCATTTTGTATCAAAAATTTCGAGTTTTTCAACCGGGTAAGTAACAAAAACTTAAGTTTCATCAAGTAGACTTGGGAATGTCATTTTTCAATGGTTTTTCTTTGGATTTTCCGCTTTTCCGATTAACGAAACCGATTTCAAGTACGAGGCTTTGATTTTTTTTTTATTTTATGCCGAAAACCTAAACTGAACACAAACTACGTCAACCAAAAACCACAAAAACGAGTGTTAAATTGGTGACGTCATCTATTTACGAATCAAAAATTATTGTTATATCGAATTTGGATACAGAAATACAAGTTAATTAGAACATCGACATTAGACTAAGACTAAGTAGGCAGTGGGCTAAGACTCTTTGAGAATTTGGAAAAAATTAAAAAATTGAAAATTGTACCAAATATGCCAACATCGTACCAGCGTACTTTTTCAAAACGAATGGTACAATTGTACCACCTCTGGCAACATTGCTGGAAACTGAAGATTTGACCCCGGAGGCTCAATAGAAATTTTCAAGAGCTTGACTTTAACCCATCGGTAAAAGTTGACAGATGAACAATGAATTAAACTTCATTTGTCAACCAATTAGTCTCAAACTTCAGATTTAAGTTTTCTGTTCAATGCTCAGTCAATTATGAGTAAGTTTACATGGTTGGGTTTGTGTAGGTTTTAAGAGTAAAATCCTGTAAAAAAAAAAGTGTACAAAACTATTTTGCGACTGAAACGCTCATTGAATGTGCAATTTTGTCTATAGCCGCCTTTTTCTCTTGACTCTTATTTATTTATGTGCAATAATAACGCTGTACCTTTACTTATTTGTTCTCTATTGTATATTTACTATTATAATTTGCACACTTTTTGTTCCTTCCTATACCTACTTATAATTTGTAAATAGTGAAAAAGGTGTTATTGGCCAATAAAAACATAGATATTTTATAAATTATTGGGATTTTTCTTTTTGACGCCTTAGCGCACGTTGATTAGGTACCTAAACAATTAAATCGGGCAGCAACTAGATATTTTTTTGGGTTTTTTGGTCCATGTGTGCCCGCAACGCCATCTTGAATATCACGTGGTTTGGATTGCCTAATATAAAGTTATAATTTAGGATAAGTCTGCATTACGTCTTAACATCTAAAGACGTCGATCAGGAGATGTTGTAAATCCACGTCTAGTGGTCTGTGATAAATATCCGTTATTTCGAATTTCAAAAGTTATTTTTGACATGGTTGCCACGTTTGGTTATAAAACGGTGATCTGAAGAGTGTCACCGGTACTACAAATACAAATAATCATTGTGTTCCAATAATAAAGGATGAATTAAAAATACCGCATTTATCAATGTGAAAAACTTTTAACTTTATTTTGGAGAAAAGGCAGAAAGAATTGCGAAATCTAGCTATAGGTGCTACTACGCGTCTCAAATGTTTTGAAACATTTATCAAAACAGTGTCACATGACGTCATAACTTCATGGCGCGAGAAAATGGCTTGAACCACCTCACGGGTTCATCGCCAGATGACTGGGTTAAAAAACGCCCCGCGGTTTTTACCGGGTTTGGGTTTGACGTGATTCATGACATTGACATTCACCGCAATGCCCCAATACGTTCAGAATTAGCACACCCAGAGTGCACTCCAAGTGATGACGTCAGAACATTCGGACAAAAAACAACTCTATTTTCATGTTTCACTGGAACGCACTCTACTTTGAGGCTTCGTGTTTTTCATACACCAATTAAATTGCAGTTGCTTGAGAGGGCAGGGGAGAGGACAAACGAACAGTGCGCGAAACTCTAATGCACTGGAACACCTATAAACAGCCCGGGGCGCTCTAGAGTCGTTCAGGAGTGCTTAAAGTGCATTAGAGTATATGGTCTATCGTGAAGGCGACCAATTGATGTTTAGGCTCGAAAGATGTTTGATAATAGTTTTAATTTTGCAAGATTCATATCGAAAACTTTCGATAATCGACGGTGCCAACTACTATCTATCGATACTTCTGGAAGGAACTCTACGAAGACATCAACAATTGACATTTGCCAACATTCACCGTGAATATTTTATTATTAAATGGGGCGCTTGTCAACATTCACCGTGAGAATTTGATTTTACGAGGGGCTTGTTAACATGCAACACGTAAATAAAAGTGAGTTGTTTATGGGTAATTGTTAATATTCACCGACAATATGAGATTTTGATGGGAATCAGAACGGTTCAGAAATTATTTATTATTAATTATTAACATTCACCAGTGCTGGGATCGCGACAAGTAGAATTCTACTTTCATGACGTCAGGTTGCCTAACAACTGTCATCATTGCCTGTATTTTTTTCTAATGTACGTGAGGTGACGTCATAGAAGTAAAATTCTGTTTATCATGATCCCAGTCCAGGACAATTTTATCATCAAATGAGGCATTTGCCAACATTTACCGTGAATATTTTATTATTAAATGAGGCATTTGTCAACATTCACCGTGAAAATTTGATTTCATGAGGCGGTTGATAGCATTCACCGCTTAAATAAAACTTGGTTATTTATGGGCAATTGTTAATATTCACCGCCAATATGGGATTAAAATAGAGAATCAGAAATTAATTATTAACATTCACCAGAACTGAATTTTCGCGACGAACTACTTTCATGCGCTTTCGCGAGAAACTCATGACGTCATATTGAACGTAGTTCGTTGGAAGCATGGACGCAGCTTCTAGCCAGCGTTCAAACTCATGACGTCACCAGACGAACTAAAACCGAATTTTCGCGACGAACTACTTTCATGATTTCATGAACAAAAACGCTTTCGCGAGAAACTCATGGCGTCATATTGAACGGAGTTTGACGGAAGCATGGGATGCAGCTTACAGCCAGCGTTCAAACTCATGACGTCACCGACGGACTATGGTTCGTTCTTGGATGAACTACATTCGGCGCGAAAATTCGGTTTATAACCGAATTTTCGCGATGAACTACTTCCATGACTTCATGGACACAATGCTTTCGCGAGAAACCCATGACGTCATATTGAACGTAGTTCGACGGAAGCATGGATGCACCTTCTAGACAGCGTTCAAACTCATGACGTCACAGAAGACCTATGGTTCGTCCTTGGATGAACTACGTTCGGCGCGAAAATTCGGTTCAGGACAATATTATCATTAAATGAGGCATTTGTCAACATTCACCGGGAAAATTTGATTGCATGAGGCGTTTGTTAACATTCACCACGTTCAGTGGATTATTTATGGACAATTGTTAATATTCACCACCAATATGGGATTGTGACGAGGATCAGAATGACTCTGAAATTATTTATTATTGATTATTAACATTTACCAAAGCGATTTTCTCGCAGTGAAACTGGTTCGATCCGGTTCAATCATACATTCTTGCGTGTTCAACGCAAGAATGTGTGTGACGTCACATTAAACCTGGTTCAAAAAAGTTTGATCCGGACTCGCGGTTTGTTCTCCGTTGACATGAGACTGTGGTTCAAATCCAAGCATCGTTCAAATCTTCCATTTTCTCCCGTTCATAGGTGATGACGTCATCCATAATTTGGTTTAAATCTTAGTTCGAACCATTCGCCCTGTGAGAAAACGTCTCAAAGTTGTTCCAACAGAGAGTGATTTGAAAAACGCGTTACGGACAAATTTCGTTACTCGAGAGAGAAGAAAGATATACCGATATACCGTAAGGAGACGGAAAAAGACAGCTATTAGGCAATCTCATGACCTGTCAAATGAAATTCAATATGGAAGTCCAGGTCAGACACCGTGTTGATTACATTTAGGTTACTGATAGAAATCAAATGACAAATTATTATTTTGTCACTTCTGGACATTTAGGTTTGACATTGGCATTGTCATATTGTCATGTTTGGCATCTACAACAATAAAGGCCATGAACAAAAAAAAATTTGACCGGAACGGCCATATTGGAATAGATTGCCTAATTGCTTGACACAAACCAAGGATTATAAGCGCAAAGAGGATGGCCTATTTGATCTGATTGACAAACGCCAATAATGCTCTTGTGACGTCACTACAGATGCGCTTCTCCCTTTTATGATACTATTAGCATTGTGTTTTGTAATTATTTTCGTCATTATGTAAGTATAGGTATCAAAATATTATCAAAAATTATATCAGAGACAGAGAAAAACAGCCATCGATTGCCATAAATCAAGGATTGTTAGGCGCCAATATCCTTGTGTCGTCACTACAGATGCTCGCCTCCCTTTGGTTAATACTATTAGCTCTTTTCTCCCCTCGTATATTTAGATTCATTATATTGTCACGGATTCCGGGTTCACTAAAAACTCACTTCACAGACAGTAACAACTTTTATTAAACTATTTGACTTTATATGAAATTCTCTATTATCACCAAACGTTGGTATCTATACCGACAAATCTAGGAAAACATCGAATCGAATATAATAGGATTCTCAGAAAAAGTGCACAGCACCACGTAACCAATAGGTAATTAGGTACCTATAGGTACAACCTTGTGAAACATACTTTAGAGACGTGAAGAATCACTCGGTTTACTACGCAGATGGTAAAATTGCAGGTCTCTCTATATATTTGACAAGTTGTAGGTAGATAGGTATAATAAACATAGCTCATAATAGGTACAATGGTAAGTACTCTATTCACAGAATCAAGAGAAAACTTCTTGATCACCTGTAATGTATAGGTACCTAATCAGATTCCAATATACCTTTACCTCTGTCAAAATAAACAATTTATGTCAAAATATGGTCAATATCGGTCTTAACGGTTTCAATAGAATAGGAAGATTATTTTTAAGGATCGCTCTAAAAACCCAGTGCGGCACCGAACAGGTACTACCACAAAATATTCCATAAAACACCATTTATTAATGAAATAATTAGAAATCTGTAGGTTCGACACTGCCAAAAGTCGTTATAGTAAACGACCCCAACATATCTCCAGTGACTATGAGCTACCTATTGAGGCATGACACGTTTCAGGAAAATTTTAATAGAGAAATAATCGATATGAACAATTGTTTGATCATTGATGGACAGCGCATTGAAGCTGTCCAAGAAAAAGACGTCACCAAAATACCATGGCACAAAGCTTGTACCATTGAGTACGTAGTAGATACAACCGGAAGAAATATTACATGTAATTCTGCATCGGTAAAAACATTCCATCTACTAAACAGTGATATTATAGTAGTTATTATTTAGCAACATATTCAAGAAAAAATCAAATGCGTCCTAGTAACAGGCTGCGCAGATATTCCAATATTCACAATGGGCGTAAATCATACGTGCTACAAACCTCTAATGAAAACCGCCTCTGTTGGAACTCCCAGCTTGAATTGCCTCACCGCCATGTTGAAAGTATTGCACGAAAATTTCGGTGTAGAAAGAGCGATGGCTACAGTCATCCACCCTCTATCCAATGACGACATGTTACTGGACGACAATGCGAAAAGTTGCAGGGAAAGTCGGTCGGCTCTTGTTAATTTTATGCCGGCAAAGTGCCAAGAGGGCAGATATGTAGCGAGGATTATGCCGGATATGGAAGGGAGAGTTGGAGTTTCTGCGCTGAAAGTACCTGTAGCTTGTGTGGGAGGTTTGGATTTAACCGTTTGGTAAATATGAGTATATTTCTATATACATTGCAGGATATTGTTCTGCATATAGATAGATCTTATACAGATAAGACGAGGCTACTAGACACAGAGGCTTTGTGCTAATGAAATTTGTGCATCTTGCTATGTGTCTAGGTTGGTCCGGTCTGTATATACAGGGTAGGGTTCACGCAAAGAATTTGGCAGTTTTTTCAATAGAACACCCTGTATATTTTTTAATAATCGAACGGACATTCTTTTCCTTTCAATACGTTTTTCCGTCGCAATTTTTGTCTATTCCCGGCTCTTGAATTTATGGGAGAAGAAATTTCAAGATCTTGGGACAAGGATCCTAATGCTAATAGGTTGTTGGTAATGGGATGATGTCATTTGGAGTGCCTAATGAAAATTTGTATTCGGCCACCCGAGATGACGTCATCAAAGTTATCATGCTGGGACTCTGTCACGAATAGAGATATTTTCTCTATCTTCATTGGCGCTCCCTATCTATTGATTTCAAAAAGAGAGAAAAACGAGAAAGGACATGCTGTCTACGTCAAAACTGGTGATTTGGCGTGGTGGCGGCTTTAGATTTGTTTCACGCATGCCTTATCAGAATAGGTTATCCTGTGTAGTGTGTATTATCCTTGGTTTGAAAAAGGTAAATTGCCTGCAAGGTTCTTAAAGTTAATAGGTTGCCTGATAATGGGTAACTTTAAGACGCATATCGGGTGCCTTTATGGAGTTTGCATTACGTTGAATTGATACTGTATGTTGAGGCACCCTAGATGACGTCATAAAGTTATTAGGCAACCTACCTCTTTTGAACAACCTTAGATTGCCTACAACGTTGTTTGAGAGAGGTAGGCTGCCTCTGGGACTCTGTAACAGATAGAGAAATTTTCTCTATTTCTATTGATTTCGACAAGAAAGAAAAAGACAGCAAGTGCCATAGGAATAGGCATAACAATCTCTATCTGTTATAGAGTTCCAGCCCTGATAACTTTTATGACGTCATCTCGGGTGTCTCAATTAATGCAAATCTCCATAAGGGCCGGTTTAATTTTCAATAGCAACTCACCCCCGGATTTGGCATAACTCCAGGGTTCTGCTCCCCTGTTTCAAGAATAAGGACCCAGGGTAAACATTGCAATTGGAACTGGACACGCCTACCCTACTTCTCTCAAACAACCTTGATATGAATTAATCTACAACAAAAACTTTTTCCAGGCTATGACGTCATCGATGACGAAAGTACAAATCTTCGTGTAACGAGCTATACAAAGTTATGGGTTATCAATTTCGTTATAAATGTGCTCCTTTTACCTTTTTTATTTGACATTTTAGAAATAAGTGTCCCAAGGTACCCAAAGTTAGGTTGTCTGGTAATGGTATACAGATGACGTCATCAGGAGGATCTAATAGAAATTTGCATTATGATTAGGGGGTTTAAGCACCCCAGATGACGTCATAAAAGTTATGCAAACGATATCTAAAGTTTTGTTTTAGGATGGTAATTAATGTACTTTAAACCTAGTATGCATAAAGTAAATGCCCTGTGGTGCAAACACCCTACGTCGTGGCGAGAAACGATACGCTGCTACGTCATCACTGGTTCTTTGACGTGGTGGGAGACATGAACTGTATGTTTTAAAAGAACGCTATCACTTTCACTTTTATCACTTTGATCACTGATAATTGACTAGAAAGAATACACCATTTTGACCAATAAGCCAAGGTGGTTTGAAAGAGGTCGGTTGCCTGCAAGGTTGTTTGAAAGAGGTAGGTTGCCTGATAACTTTATGACGTCATCTGAGGTGCCACAACATACCGCGTGTTGCTCAAAATGTTGCACCATCACGGATATGCTGAATAAAATTCACTAATGCCAATGCCAAACCCTGCATAATTTAACACTACTTTTTTTCAAGAATAAACACTGTTACTAAAGGGTAGCCTAGTTTCATAAGGCCTGTGTGGAACAAATCCCTCCTCCCCCCACCTTAAGCCTTGTACTCATAACTGCGAAATTCGCACTTTTTTGATATTGCTTGGACAATTTCATGTTTCATGCGTGAATCAAACGACAAATTGTCGAAGCAATCTCAAAAAAGAGCGAATTTCGAAGCTATGAGTACTAGGCTTTAAGCCAAATAACTAGTTGTGACGTAGGCAGCATGTCCTTTCTTGCCTTGCGTGTGTTCCAGATCAATAAATTTACTTTTCTTTGTAAGCGGTGCAACCAGAATCAATTTCAAATCGATTCTATTTGTTCTATACTTGTTCCGAACTCGTTTGCGGTCGGATAAAAATTTGAACTAGTTCACTCACGATCTTAAGTGTTCTAGATTCAAGACTCTGAAATACTTCTAATTTGAAATAGAACAATTAGAGTCTACTCTTTTTACTCTTCAATATCCGAACGTTCACGAAGGAGTAAAAAAAATACAATCTTTGAACGATTCGCTCAATCAGAGCACTCCAAATATGGTTCATGTTTGAGTATAAGGAGTGAAATAAATACAACTTTCTAATGAATAAACCTACTCTATTTACTCTAAAACAGTAGTGCAAGTGAACAGAGTTAAATTTAGTGCACTAAAACGAGAATCTCGGACCAAATGGAGTAACTGTTAACGTTGCCCGATCAGTTTCGAACATAAAAAAACCTACACTGGATCCAGAATTAGTGTTCTAGAGGCAACAATAAACAGAATTTGAGTAAAGAATGTCGATTGGAACGAAATCTCCTCTGGAAAGTCCGCAAACATAACCTACAAAATCCTAAAAAGTCGGTAATGCAGGCACCTGTAACGATAAATAGAATTCTATTTTAGTTAAGTCACTTATCATTATTGAAATAGAACAGATATGTTCTACTAAAAATTGATCAAAAGCCTGTTCCGAACTCGTTTATTGTCAAATGAAGCTCTGAATTAGATTACAAATCCTGAATTACTGTCCTAGAACACCTTGAACTTGCTCTATTCTTTGTTCGTAATTCAATTAGAACCAGTTCCAAACTATATAAAGTTCAACAAGAATCAGTTGCAAATCGTTCTTTTTGTATTTTAAAGATCTGTTCCAGATTAGTTCACGAGGAAAAAGTGTCTTGGAACACATCGAAGTCACTCTTTATTATTCGCAGTTCATTTAGAACCGGTTCTAGATCAACTCTGAACTGATGCTAATTTGCAATAGGTTTGTTCATACGTGCGCTTGCATATTTGTTCATATTAAACATAAGGTGGGTTCGGCTTGCTCACTCTGTGCACTCCGAGTGACTCCGTTCGCACTCCAGCCGTTTGCGTATTGCTTTTTACCGTATTGGGGTGACTCCATTAGCTCTGGGCCGAGATTCTAAAATCACGATTCGACACACGACTCGATAACGATACCGGCCTTGTCGTCTCGAAAGGTACAATTCCAATGAGATTTCTATTTCTAACCTAGAATCGTCGGAAAAATCGTCTCGTTGTCGAGTCGTATGTCGACTCGTGATTTTAGTTTCCCCGGCCTGTTCTTACTCCACTCCAACTCCGCGCCACTTAGAACCGGTTCCAGATAATTTCTGTACTGGTTCTCAGAGTTTCGAGCAGGTCGATTGCTGTTCCGAATAAGAAAAAATCATGAACTGGTTTATTATTAGGTGTATTCCTTTCACACTTATGAAGAGCTCCAGAACAGCTCCGGGGCGTTACTACTTACTACCGAACACAAGGTTAGGCCTTGATCAAGGTTGTTTGAGAAAGTTAGGTTGCCTAATAACTTTATGACGTCATCTAGGGTGCTTCAACATAGCAAATTTTTACATTATTTGTCGGCTTATTGCAACGTTGCCAAAAAATCGAGTTGAAATCAAATCGAGAGCCGGGAATAATGAAAATTTTAACTGTTTAATAATGTAACAAACAATCTGTAAATTAAGAATTCTGGCAACATCGCCCTGAACCTAAAATAGAATTCTAGCTAAAGGTGGGTTCGGCTTGCTCATTTCGTGCACTCCGAGTGATTCCATTCGCACTCCAGTCGTTCGGGTATTGCTTCTCACCGTATTGGGGTGACTCCATTAGCTCTGTTCTTACTCCACTCCAACTCCGCGCTGAATAGCCGAACCCAGCTTGAGTAAAGACATCTGCGCCAAAAAATTTTTGGTTTACAGTATACAGGGTGTTCCAGAAAAAAAAATATCAGAACAATACTTTTTTTAAAATGAACTGATTTCAGCTTAAGAAAACAAGTCGCCTACGAAATCCTGACGGGAAAATTCAAAGAAGCGGCCGATTGTTACATGAGAGGCCTCCTAAAGTGCTCCAACGAAGAACTAGTGAGCTCAGATTTAATCGGTAACGCGCATGCGTGCATTATCGACGTTAAAGCCGGCTCTGGTTTGTCACCCTGTATGGTAAAACTGTTCGCATGGTACGACGCAGAGTACGCATGCGCGCAACGTCTTTACGACATGGTAAAGTACATCGCTTCAAGGGAAGTTTGCCAATAAATAAAAATAAATACAATTTAATTTAAATTGTAGAAAACTTAACAACTATATAGAAATATGTAAAATAAATAAATTAAAGATCCATTTGGAATTGGTCGTCATCGTTGGTTTTAGTGTTGCTGTCTTTTCGGGGTTTGGGTGGCAGTTTGCGTTGTTGGTTGCTGGTTGGAGTGGACTTTTTAGGCGGGCTGCCTTTGACTAGATTCTCCGGAATACCGAATTTGGGCGGGGTTTTTGAGATCGGCGAGTTGCGTAGCGTCAATAGGAAGTTGCGTTCGTACACGATTTTTGTACCTGAAACAATAATACAATTAGACTAATCAGATTGGAACGCAATTTTTTAGAGTGTGTTCCGAGCAGTGGAAATGTGTTCCGAGTGACCTAAGATTTGTATCGCTAAACAATTTTGGTTCAAATATCATTTGAATACGAGCATAAATAAATGCCCTAAAGGAGCAGACCTTGTTCCGAGCAGTGAAATGTGTTCTAAAAGTGCACGCTCGTATTTAAAATTTTGTACCTTAACACATGTACAAACATTTTTCGCATTTGCTGATAAAAACCACTTGACCCAATTCCTCTTTATCGTGTTTAACTTTTGAAACTATAAATAGATATTCATATAATTACATAATAGAGGAATTGATAAATGTCTGTCTGAAATTATAATTAATGAGATTTTTTTTTGTGGGAGACTTATGAGAATAAGCTATCCTGTAATAGAAGTGTGTATTATCCTTGCTTTCAAACAACCTTGCACCTTGCACTATTTTCTACCTAGGTTTTTGGAAATGCCCGATTCAATTATGCTATTTGCAATGTTGCCAAGTTCACACAACAAATGATTGTGAAAAATAAAATAAATAATGAAAATCCCTCCTTTTTCTATTGTTTTTCAAGACCTCTAGCTTACCCCTAGACTAGACTCTAATCTAACTCTTAAATACCAAATTGGTTTTTGAAATATGTCAACACAGCTTTTTTGTTGAAATGTATTTACAGTTCGTTTCACGAAGGTTTGTACTTACCTCATTGATGACGTCATATTTTGGAAAAAAGGGTTTGTTGAAGATTAACCCATAAAATCAATTTTTTTGAAAAATTTAATAAGAACATTTCGAGCGTTTGACCGGTCGGTTACACTTGAATGACGTAAAATGCGTTGCGCATTTGTCAAAGTTACCGACTAGTCAATCCCTTTTGGTTTCAAAAACCGACCAATGCTTATGACGGTTTTAATTTGTTCCAGGAAAACAAATGATGACGTAGGTATGTACAAACCCTAGTGAAACGCACTTTAGGCATTTAGGGATTATGACGAAATGTTGTAATAGTAATATTGGGATAATTAATGTAATGTTGGGACACTGAATGAATTACAATAGAAATAAAGAGAAACTTTCATTTGAAAAGATTAAGTAACATACGTCATTTTAGAAACGTTGAAAGTGGCAACATTGCAAATAGGTACCACCACCCACCACAGTACCACAGTGCAGTGCTGCTCCGCTGTTTCAAAAACAAGAACTTTGGTAGGGAATATTGTAAAATTTGTTTCACCAGGATTTGTACTTACGTCATACAAAATGACGTTATAGCCATTCGTCGATCGGCCGATCCGTCAAATAAAATGACGTCACCGATGACGTAAGTAAAAACCTCCGTGAACGAACTATACACTTGTTATTGGTTATCAATTTGGGATGGGTTCCGTTTCCAAACCTGGTTGACCGTCGGTTGACAGTGGTTGCTGAAAATTTCGGTTTTATACGGAACGCATTTCCAATAGATGAAGAAGTGACACTGAGTGTAGTTGAATCAAGTAGAAACTAAGAGATGGAATGACAGTTAACGAAAAACCGATCAACGTTTTTTTCAGGAACAGCGTTTTCATAGACTGGTTTTTCAGGCACCAAACATTATGGAACGTGTAACCTTTTTATTTGACATTTTAGAAAAAAGTGTCCTAAAGTTAATAGGTTGCCTGGTAATAAAACAGAAGCAAATGCTTTTTCTTAAGTTTTTTGAGCAGTTTTTTGGTGCAGCAAAAAGAGACGGAGGTAGAGTAAAAGCATTAGTTTCTGTTACACTTTATTTAAACGACTGAATAGGTTCTCTTGTAATGGTAAACAAATGACGTCATCTAAGGTGCCTAGTGAAGATTTATAAACTTTTCGGAAATGCTGATTCGATTAACTCGATCACTAGCTGTTTGTTTTTTATCTCTCTTTAATGATTGAAAAAAAAAACAAAGTACATCAGTTAGTGATCCGGTAAATCGGATCCGCGTTTCTGAGAAGGAGAAAGCCTGATATCTTTGAGCACCCCATATGACGTCATAAAAGTTATCGGGCAACCTATTTCTTTCAAGAAACCTTGAAGGCAACCTACCTCTTCTTTCAAACAATCTTGAAAGTGTTCCAAATAAAAGTTTTTTTGTTGAAATTTCTTTACAAAAGTTCACTTTCGCGTATACAGGGTGTCTCATCAGGAATCAAATTGATCTATGTATGAAAAATTGTATGCGGAAAATTTTTGAAAATTTGACAGTTTACTTATGTCAATGGGGGCAATCAAGAGCTAATATATTTTCAAGATGGTGGCAATTCCAGTGTAGACGTCAACTGGTTTATTTTAAATGTGTTCTGTGAATGTGACACCTTGTATATGATTGCATATTTTGATTCTACGTTAAATTCTGAGCAGATTTCATGTAATATACCCTTTGAATATAAAACTACAGGAAGGAGCGTTTTCTATTTGTCACTATAGACAACGCAGAGACGGAAACGGCCATATTGAGCCTCCAAGTATGACTCATAATTTGTTTTGGTGGTTCGCTGTGTCCTCATTCAAGTGGATGTTTAATGGATTTTAGCGGTGTTAAGTGATAATAAGCAGTGGGATTAGTGCGAAAAGAGTGAGTCATAATATTGACAATCATATTTAAATAGATATACGCGCCTGCCAAACCGGAAACATTAGTCGGCCATATGCAACCTCCACATATTCTGTGTCGCGCAGATTCGAGGTTATGCTCCTTCCTGTAGTTTTTTATTCAAAGAATATACGATACCTAAGTTCAACTGTTTTGGAAATATTGACAGTTGAAAATTGACTTTTTGCAACTTTGACAGGTTGTAAAACCTGAACGGTTAATTTTAGAGGAAAACCGAGATCTGCTCAGAATTTTACGTAGAATCCAAATATGCGATCGTATACAGGATGTCTCATTTAAAACAAGCAAATTGACGTCTACTTCCGGTAGGAAGTGCCGCCATCTTGAAAATATTTTAGCCGGGTTGAAAGCAAGGATAATTCACACTACTAAGGATTGCTCATTGGCCTCGTTTTTGGTAATCGCCGCCATATTGGTGTGTCACCATTTCCGACGTCATTAACAAGTTGTCAGTTGTTTGCACTATAGAGGTCGGAATTTAGAATTCAAATTTATGATGAAAAATTTATTACGACCATCTGAGAAAGGACATGCTGCCTACTTCACAACGTGATTTGTTGGGGGAGGGAGGGGGGATATGTTCCACACAGAGGCCCGATTCTCATCCCCTGGGTCCCTATTCTTGAATCAGGGGAGTAGCCTTCCCAGGAGAAAAAGTGTTCTGTCTTTCTCACCAATGATATGCAAATGATAATATGAGTAACAAAGACAGGACACTCGTTCTCGTGAGAATGGTGCTTCCTTGTTTCAAGAATAAGGACCCAGGAAGTAGAGCTCCTCGAAAGAACGATTTTTTTTGTCCTTGTCAACGTAATCGAATAGTGAACGAGAATGATAAAGACGAAAAATTTGTTCTCTCGGGGAGCTCTCCTTTCCCTAAGACTCCACAGGCCTTATGAGGATAGGCTATCCTTTAGTAGTAGTGTGTATGATCCTTGGGTTCAAAGTTCTTAAAATTAATAGATTGTCTGGTAATGGGTTATTTGATGACGCATCTTGGATGCCTTATGGAGATTTGCACATAGACATATAATATTTATCATCTATTCACAATTCGATGTCTAAAGGTAAAGGTGAAATTTGTCACCTTTTAGTGCTATTTAATAGGGAAAGGTGATAAATTTACCTTTACCTTTGGACTACGGATTGTGAATAGGATATACATTATGTTGAGGCACTTCAGATGACGTCATAAAGTTTTCAAACAACCTATGAGTCGGGTTGCTACCATTGACATTCTAAATACTATCAAATTTTGAAAAATTTTCTGCATACAGTTTTTCCTACAGTGTGTCTCAAATTGGTAGTATGTATTAGGATATTATTGATTTTGTATTTTTTCACTCTATTTTACTGTATTAAATTTAATATGGCGGCTATAAGAAATAATGAAGATTTGGTTCGACACCCTGGTATAGGGTCTTTCAGAAAAGCAAGTTGTGGTCCAACTTCCTTATTTTTAATTGAAGGACCCTGTATATTATTGAATAATCCTAAAATTTTGAACATATAACATGTTATATACCCTATTAATACATGAGATTGAGCCGTCATGCCCAAATTGCTAACGCTCATTAAGTCGGATACAGTTGAGTTCGGCCAAGCGAGAGAGAAAGAAACAGTCAGTGTACGAGAAAGAGAGAGAGGGATAGCCCGATTGGGATTCAATTCAGACTTTCCCTAGCTAGAACAAATTTAAGATAGTTATCATTCGCAACATTTTTTAATTGTTTATGTTTATATTTATGTTGTTTGAGGCAGGTAGGTTGTCTAGATAACGTATGACGTCATCTGGGGTGCCTCAACATATTGTAGCAAATCTTCATAAAGCACCCCAGATGCGTCAGCGTCATCAAGTTACCCATTACTAGACAACCTATGAACTTTAGGAACCTTAGTCATGGTAATAGCAAACAGATGATGTTATCAGAGGTAGTTCAAGTTAGGTTTGGGCATTCAGATGACGTCATAAAAGTTATGGCAGCCTCTCTCTTATCGTTTGCTCTTATCCAAGCCACAAATGACAGGATTCAATATGGTGGCAATGGACAAGCATTAGTTTCAGTTGCGTTCATTGTCTTTTTTTTTTAAACTGTCCACATCCTATTTACTGGGCTTTGTTTTTTTAAATTGAATTTCATATGGAAATTTATTGCTTTTTCCGGTAAAAACCAAAAAATCGGAAAAAATCCTTCAGATAAGTAAAAATTCATAAAATAGTACCTACATTACGTAAGGAGTCCGGAAAGTACTGTTTTTTTTTTTAATAAGTAGCCACCCGAGTTTTAGAAAAAACACTTTCCGGACGTATAATGTAACACTATTTTTTTGTGCAACCCTCCGAAAAGTACATACTTTCCGGACGCGTTTAACTTTCCGGCCTAGGTTCGCAAAGACATACTTTCTTAAGTAAAATTTTAACGCATCCGGAAAGTATTACTTTTTGAATGGTTGCCGGAAAAAGAATTTTCATGTCCAAAGCAAGGTTGTTTGAGAGAGGTAGGTTGCCTGATAACTTTATGACGTCATCCGGGGTGCGTCAATATAACGCAAATTTCCATAAGGCACCCCAGATGCGTCATCAAGTTACCCATTACCAGGCAACCTATTCACTTTAGGATCTTTGGTCTAAAGCACAAAACAAATCCTTATTTTCATAGTCTAGCCTACTAAGATTATCTTTTATTTATTCAAACAACGATCCACTTACTACGAAAATAACCTTCCGGCTAAATTTACAACTCCGCAAACCACGCGGAGGTTCAATAAAACGTGTGTGAATATTTGTTTTTTTAGCAAACCCAAGGACAAACATCATCAACAAAATAATCGCATCGCGGAAAAAAAAAACCGTGTTAAATAATAAATGCGTCGCAAAATGTTTGTTGTATTATGAAATCGTCGCCAGGAGGTATTGGGCCTTGAAAATTTGCAAAAAAATTACAACGCAAAAGTGAATTTATCATAAATTTAAATTGGGTGGTTTTATGATAATCGGTGGGTATTAACTTAGATAAGTAATGTTCTTATCATCAGTTATTTGCAATTATTTTTTGGATAAAAAGCAAATGACCTATCAAGGCTAAGAAGGCTATTAAGCCCATTAAACGTGTGAAATGTTTGTTGTTTTTAACTTAACATGTGCAGGAAATAACTATTAATTTGAAATATTATTAGCGTTACTTATACGTCTGGAATGGTATAATGTATTATCATAACATGTGGTAGAAATATAGTGAGAATATTACATATTTTTAGAAGTCTAGATCAAAACTTAAAAGACCTCGCACGTTTCTTATGGAAAAGTGATCTATGTGGAATTTTGTTGAATTTTTGATATTGTATATAGAGGGAGTCGTCCTTAACAAAAGTTATCATTGCGAGGAAAATAGTAGGTATAGTTAAAGTCAAAAAAAGGGAAGGATAGTAATAATTTTCGGTGCTGTGAGCATACTGGTGACGTCATACTGAAGAGTGGATAATTTCGGGGAATTTCAATTTTTAGAAGTATCTTTAAAACTGTTGGGTATTAAACATTAGCGCAATTATTAACTTTTGTTAAGGATGATCAAAAATTCAGAAAAATTCCACATAATTCCGTAAGAAAGGTGCGGGGTCCTAAAGCTCAATGATTGATCTGCCAATCTCAAAATATGCTCTATATTTTATACATAAGCGCAATTAGGCTCGAAATTTGAAGGATGCTGCAGCATCATTTTTTTTTTTTTTTTTTGATGGGGTTTGATGTAAAGGAGACGCGTAAAAAAAAGTTAATTTCACGTGGGTTTATACTTACGTCATCATTTGCCTTTTTTTTATGTCTGAAATTTCCATCAAACATATAAACTGCTGGACAAATGAAACGGAACAAGCGAATGTTTAGGTTAGCTTTAAATTCCAATATTACGCGATTTTAGGAAGATATCAATGAGCGGTTTGGGAAATTTTCTTTTAAATTACGCAAACCGCTCATTGA